GCTGCAAATCCTTGAAGAGTCTGAACTTTGAGTTTTAAATTGGATTGTTAATGGAAATCAATTATGTGGGAAGTGAAATGGGACCTGGGGTGAATGCTGCTGCTGGCCAGCTGTGTGACTTTGGGCTGTAACTCTTACCTCTTGATCTCAGTGTCCACATCTGTGCAATGAAGCTGCAGGGCTGGCTGATCTCTAGAGCCCTTCTAGATTCAGCATTCCATATTCTTTGTTTTCTTGGTTGTCGCTATTATTAGTTTATCTAATGATGTGCTCTTATTTAGACAGTGAACAGAGTTCTGTGGAAAGACCAGAGTTTTAAAGAGTTTTTTGAATTGTATGTATTTATTGGTCTGTACTGGAATGGTTTCAGGGTCTGCAGGAAAGGAGACAGTGTCTTGCCTTGGAAGACTCCGAGTGTAGCTGAGGGGATGGGGAAGGGGCTAGCCTAAGGATTGCCAATTAATTGATTGCCCTTAGGTTTATCAAAGGAGCCAGGAAACAGAGATGTGTGGCACAGGTTGGCATCCCACCAAGCCACACAGTGTATGGCTGTGAAAAACAGCACAGGATTTGGAATCAGGTAGAAGACCTCAGGTTTCTAGACCTCATCATCTAAAGGGATGATGCTGTCATCATCCTCTGCTTGCGTGACCTGGAGCGAGATAATCTCTCCTAAACCTCAGTTTTCATGTTTTTAAATGGGATAATAATGGAACTTCCTTCATAGCATTGCTGTGAAAATTAGAGTGGATAATATATAAAAATCTTAGCCCATGTGGTGTATAGTAATTTGTCAATAAACATAGTCTAGTAATTACAGAATTGGGTGAGGTACTTTAATCTCCTATATTTGATCTAATCCGTAAGAATACTGAAGTAGTATAAGTCATTGCCAAGATATTACAGGGGAGAAAATTAGTTTAGAAGAGTTAAGTAATTTTCTCAACATTACACAAGCTGTCAGTGGCAGAACATAAGTTAGCTTCCTGGGAGTGGGGCGGTGCAGTGGCTGCAGTGATGATATTCAAGGTGGGCCTTGAAGGGAAGCATCCTGGAGAAGTGAAAGTGGCAGGAAAGAGAGAGGTTCCAGGCAGCATTGCAGGTGCATAAAGCTGAAGCTCAGTTCTGTGGAGTGAGGAGATTATGGAAAACTTCAAGTAATTTTTCGTGTCTTTTAATGCCTCTGGTTGTGTCACATAAAGGCTGGTCAGAGAGTTCAAGAAAGAGACAAATACCATATTAGTCAACAAAAATATTTCTAAACGCTTTTGTCTTTCTTCCACTAGCAGAGAAAACTTTCAGCATTCGAGCGCTTGCGGTTCTTTTGTCTGTACCTTCAAATTATGATGCTGCACTTTCTGATAGGGAAGCCACGATGTCCTGTGCTGTCAAGCCCTGGAAATGTGGTGGTCCCCATTGAGAGGTGCTATCAGTGTAAAACACATACTGGACATAGTAAGGAAGTAAAATCTTCTATTTTTATATTTGATTACATGTCAACATGATAATATTTTGAAAACATTGGGTTAAAATTAAAATATTAAAATTAATTTCACCCACTTCTTTTTACCTTTTTAATGTGGTTGCTAGGAAATTTAACATGACATAGGTGGTTCTCATTTTTGACTTGTGTTCTCTTTCTGTTGGATGGTACTAGTCTAGGGGTACTTGTTATAGCCTTAATGTTTGTCATCCATTCTAGTGCTACCAGAGTCATTGATGGCTTTGGGCTAGCATGTCAGGAAATGTACCTGGTCATTCAGATGTGGTAGAGAGCTGGGTTCTGACCATGGCTAGGCCGTATACATTGTTCTCTGAGCTTCAGGTTTTTCATTTGCATAGTGGGGATATGGGATTTGATATTCTCCTGGCCCTTTAATTTTAAAGGTCTATGAGTCAAGCTTGGAATCAACTATTTTTCTTTTTCTGGGTTCAGTTGAGAGGTCTCTACTACTCCCTCTCCCATACATCAGAAAACATCATGATTATTGCCTTCTACTTGTGGTTTTTAGTGAAACCAGAAGTGAAAAGACTTTAGAGAGTTCTGATAAATTAAAGCACCTTTTTCCTCCCGTTTCCCTTTGCTGCCCACAGGCCCCATCTAGGTGTGTTAAACTGTCCTCCTGAGCAAGGTAGCCAAGGCAGCTGCTAAAATGATATGTGTACCAGAGAGCTTGAAGTGGCCTCATATCTTTGGTTCATGGTTCTCAAGACTACTTTTAAATACTCCAAGTATGGCGACTCTATAAACTCTCTTTAGGAGCTATCTAGATCCATAAAAATTGAGAATCTGCCTTTTTCCTTTTTGTTCTACTAATGTTAGAACAATTCATTTTCTTTGTAAATGTCTTCCTTTCAGTAGTTCATCTTCCTATATACTACCCAACTGTTCATCCACCTGTTAAGTATGTCAGTCATTGGGCTAGCTCCAAGACCACAGAGATGGCAGACTTGGTCTTTTTCCTTGAGAAGCTTCTGGATAAAAACCAACAAGGAGAATCTATGGTGTTTGGTGACTTGAGAGGGATATTCAGTGTGTGTGGGTACAGGCAATGAAAGGAGACGACCCCATGAGCAAACTCAGGCAATGAAATATTTACTTTGAAATAAGAGTTTTGATATTTCAAAGTAAGACAAGGTTTTAGTTAACTAGCAACAAGTCAAATAAATAAGATATGCCCTATAAATATCCATCAGATATAATTCCTTTTAATGGAACATGAATGTCTGGTTGCAAGTGTTTTCTATACTAAAATCCTCTCTCATGATACCAATCACAATGTAGTATTTTGCCATGAAATTTATTTTTCTTTTGGAATAAGCCTTTACAGTATGTTACAGTTTAAAATAGTAACAATATAGAAGAGGAGTTATATAAAGCAAAGTTTTACTGGTTTAAAAAACAAGGGCACTGGAGAGGAAAAATATTGCTATGTCTGTGGAGCCTGTTTTATTGCAAATGCCTGCATCTGTTATTTTTAATAAAATCTTGACTTTTCTGACAAAGAGTATGGGTGAATAGAATATATCTGCAGGGACATTTTTGGTAGTCAACACATGTCTTGGCTTTTGATTTGATGTTTGTGGGAATCCTAAAATAATAGTGTACTAATTGGCTCAGATTGAAATCTCAGATAATTGGACGGATCGCTAGCACAGAAAGGGTAGGAACAGCTAATGTTTTTTTCTTCACTGTAAGAGATGGTTATTTTGTTTACTTTGAAACACAACCATTTACCTCGATTGGACAGAAGATTACAGCACTCAACTTATGTTCCTATGATTAGGAGATAACTTTATTAAATACATATAATGTAAATACATGTTCATCTTTGTGTATTAAATGCCAACAATGTGCATTTTGTAAGACAAAAACTAAACTTTTATTGAGTGCATTTAATACTGTGAAATTCAGATATTCATAGTATAAGGACAGAATATTTGTAGAGAATTTCCTTGTAAATAATTTGAAAAACCCAATATATTCATCATGAATCAATAACACTTCTATAATAACAAAAATAAAAAGTAAATGTGACAAGTTTATACCATTTTACAGATTTCCAAGACAGAAATCTACAAATGAGAAGAAAATAGAGGTATCTGTAAAGGTACTTGTTTATATGCAGTTGCATTCATATGACCCATACAGGGTCGGAGGATTGAAGAGAGGTGCCCAGAAATGACATTGCGGCAGCCACATTTATGTAGAGGGCTGAACTTAACTAACAGGAACAGCATACTAGATAGCTTTAGAGTAGAGAGTGATGAATTCTCTGAATATCTGTTTCTCTCCTTTCCTATGCACTGCCCCAGAATGCTGTGTATTTTAGTTTCTGTAATTTAAAATCAGTTTAGTATAAAAAATTTTCAGTAATTCCATGCCATTCCTTGCTATAACCAGGTCGGAAATCACTAATGGAGTTTTGTTGATGTACTGGTGTCTGATGACTAGAGATGCCCCAGTTGGTTTGTAAGGATTGAATGTGGACACAAATAATTGATGCCCTCCTTAGTTTTGGAAAGCTCAAATGGCTGCTCTTTGTCTAACAGTTAGTAGACGAGTAAGTTTCATTTATTACTAGCATGTAAAATGAAAAACTCACTGCAAAGTACAACTGCAAATTATTATTTATTATCACCTGCATAATGAGGCATAGAGCTTATTTAACCATTCATTTGTATACTGAGTCATTTATTCAATAAATGTTAATGAATGCCTACTGTGTGCCAGGCAAGATACAAGGTACTAGAGAGGATAGCAGTGAACAGGACAGAGAAGCCTCAGCTTGATAGACGAGGCAGACAATAAACAAACTCACCAACAGACACATCAGTTAACGGTAACAGTAAGTGCTGAAAAAGGCACACAAAAGGTGAGAGGAACTGTGAGACGGGTGGGGGTAGTGGGCTGTATTTTAGGTATAAGATGATCAGCAGGAGTCTTTCTAAGGAGGCAGAAACTGAGGTGAGACCTGAAGAATAAAGGAACCAGACTTTGAATGTGAAAATTGTTTCCCATAGTCATTGGCATTTAGTGTACCACTTGTGTGCAAGGATAATATTCTGAACTGAACCAGGAACCAACAAGGAAAGAAAATAGCCTGATTCTAGAGCACAACTTTGGAGCACCCTGTTCAGTCAGGTGTTAAGCCCTGAATTGCTGGGTGATTAGGAGGTCTTGGCGGGGGCGGGAGGGCTGGCGCAGCTGAGTTGGTACTCAGAGGCTCAGGCGCCACAACCATTTAACTATTGTGATAGGGAAGTATTTAAACAAGCAGTATGCATGTGTAATGGCTGAACATTAGCCATGCTTGTGTGTAATTTGACAATCCAAGGAATTTTTGACAAAAATCCTGGAGATACGACTTAGTTCAGCAGAGAAAAGGAAGGGTTAAATTTCTGTTTTCAATGACAACAGTCATACCTTTATAGTCTGGGTCACAAACTGGATATATCTTCTCAAGAAGGTAACCGTGTAACTTCATGTGTTTTTATAGGCGGCATCATTGTCCACATCTTCCTACCAAGATTTATGATAAAACAGAGAAACCATGTCGTCTCTCCGAATACACCGAGAACTACCCTCTTTATCACTCATACCTGCCCAGAGAGTCCTTCAAGCCCAAGCTGGAGTACCAGAAAGGGTCTATACCAATGGAAGGCCTGACCACATCGAGGTGAGGGCAGTGGTGTGAATATATGAACGTAGAACACTATAATACTAAAGTACAACATTAATGTAATAATGTTTGACATTGCCTTAATGTGCACTACCAACATATGCTATTAATATCTTAATGTTAATTTGTTGTATTTTCTTCCCTGAAAGAAAATCCTGAATGCATGGGGTAGGCAAAAAGTCTGTATGGTTTTTTCTGTAAAATAAGACACATTTTTAATTTTCACCAATAACTTTATTGATTTGGATATATTGAGTATGCTGGCTATCTCTCGCATGGTATAATGGTGATTGTTCTCAGTTAATGTATCAGTTTGATTGCTATCAGCTTCAGCTGGTCTACTTGATGTCGGAGCATCATCCAGTGAGAAATCTCCAGCACGAAACTTCATAAACCGCTTTTGACATGTTTGATCAGTCACTGTACCTTCTCCATACACTGCACAAATCTTTTTTTGTGTCTTTCAATTGCCTTTTTACCTTTCTTGAAATAATAAAGCATAATGTGCCAAAAATACTGCATATTTTCTTCCATCTTTAATATTAAAATGGCTACACAAAAATTCACAAATTTTGATGTTTTTTAAAATGCATGCTCTTATGACAGCTGTCACAATACAACCTAACAAAATTGTTTCAGATGAAGTTAAAGACAGCTAAGTGCTGCTAGAGCCATCTTACAGAAAAAAACCAAACGAATATTTTGGCCAACTCAGTATAAGCCTGTTCAATTTTTCCTAATCTCCCCTAAAGGAAAAGGATTCCTGTGTGGAAGGTGGAGAAAAATGGAGGGAAATACTAAACTGATCTACATAAAAAGGATTGGAGTTTCAGTAAAGTAATAAAGGGATGGAAACCAAGGGGCTGCTATTGAAAAAGGCGTTTTGGGCTTTGGCAGCTAAACTCCAGGTTAGCTTGGGTGGTAGTAGTGCTTGTTGGTAGTGGTGAAACAGAACTAAGTGTTAGAGAAAGAGTGGCCTTTTTTGAAATTATGCTATTGATTTTGAATTGGGGTCCCCTTGGATGTTCTTCAAGAACATGAAGAGAATATTTCCTTTTAAATTACCCTTGCCTTTTAAGAAGGGGCTGGCAAAAAGTTTTCAAAGTCATGAAAAGCAAGGACCTACATCCAATATTCTATCCAGCAAAGAATGGAAGGACAGGTAAAGTGCTTTCCAGATAAGATCAAGTTAAAGGAGTTCATCCTCACCAAGCCCTTATTATATGAAATGTTAAAGGGACTTATCTAAGAAAAAGAATAAGATCAAAAACTATGAAGAGTAAAACAGAAGGGAGTGGAAGGGGAAGAATAGGGGGAAAAGGTACAGAGAATAAGCAGCATAAATAGTAGGTACAGAAATAGACGGGGATGTTAAGAATACTTAGGAAATGGAGAAGCCAAAGAACCTCTATGTATGACCCCTGGACATGAACTAAGGGGGAGGGAATGCTGAGGGGTGGAGCAGTGCAGGTGGAGGGGACTAAAGGAGAGAAAAAAAGTGGGACAATGGTAATAGGATAATCAATAAAATATATGTATTAAAAAAAAGGATGCTGATCAAAATCTTTCGTTCCTACCTCCTCTCCCCGTAAAAGAAAACTGGATTTGTTTTCAGGCTTTAATCCTACTATAATAAAGTGAATCAGCTCTGTTTAAATAAATAAATAAAGAACTCTTGCCTTATAAACTCTGATTCTTTAGATCCCATCTGTGCAGAGACTGGACCACTGGGTTCCGTGTATTTGGGTTGTAGAGGTAACTGTACTGAGGGAGTGGGGGAAAGTGATCAATCTTTGAATTGTTCTATGATCAATCTTAGGATTGTTCTACGTGTTGCAAGGCTCTAACAGAATCTGCCATTGACAACTCAGTTACCTCCAGATGGTAATTTGTGACTGGTGAGTCAGTGTAGTAGAATCATCTTTGAGTGCAGCTGGGCAGCCTTTCAAATTGTACAGCTTAGTCCCAGATGAGACCTGAAAGATGGACGCATTCTTTGCCTGTGCCATTCCTCATTGTTGCAGGATTGCTGTGGGGTGAAGGTGAAATGGTTCCAGCATATGCATGCACATTACAGGTGCTCAAAGCCTGGTAAAATTTCTCCCTGTGCCTCATAACTTTGTGCTTTTGTAGGGAAGGCCCCAGATGAACCAGGCTAAGCAGAACAGCTCTAATTCATTCTGTGGCCAGGTTACCCCCAGGATAGGTCTGGAAACACTACTGTTGAGATCGTGGGTTGGAAGTATGGAGTTTCTACTGAAAGCTGCTATCTTTTAGATTCCAAAGAAGACGTACACGTCTTGGTTTTGGGGCAGAAACAACCAACCAGGGGAGACACAAGGGCAGAAATGAAGTCAAAGGATTCCTGAGCTTGTTGGGAACCACTGGATGGGAGGGAGTCGAATGCCTTGTCAATGCTTGACTTGAATCAGGTCACTGTTAGGCCAAGCAGTTCTCTTAAATGATTTGGTTTAAGCACAAAGCTTCCAGGTCCTCCTTGGAAAAAAAATTGTAATGTATGCAACCTGTTTTTAAACCTGTGTCTTATTAAACAATATGAATTTTAAAGTTTGGGCTTCATTTTACCAAGAAAAAAAAATTCTTAGTTTCTAAGAGTCTAAAGATCACAACAAGAGATGTGGACCCTTCCAGATCACTGCTTTCTCTCTGTTTTTTAAGAAACTTTGGTTGACACTAATGGAAAATCCTCAGTATATGTGTCAGATATTTAATTATTTGTTGTAAAGGATAAGAGCTATGTTGAGGAATGGCTTGCAAACACCACAAGTCAGCCCTAGAGGCTGGTCTTAGCTGTTTATTCCCAATTTGCAGGAAATGAGGAGCACCTCATGAATGTAAAGTACAGCACAGCTCCAGATGTTGTCATATTAGGGATCCACTTCACGTCCTGGAAACATGGAGAAGGGTGTTGAGGGCTGGGTGTTGAAGAATGCTTTCTATTTGGTGCCCACAAGCTTAGGAGAACGAAGATAAACCTCTCTGGGGCAGAAGCCCTGCTCCGGCACCTGGCTCTGAGCCCCCGGATGGAGCCCCACATGCTCCCCTGAGAACACAAACTTTCTGACAAAAGCCACCTCCCGAAGGTTCTCTGCAAAACAAAAACTTTCCCTCTGACCTGTCCGAAATTATCCTTGCCTCATGTCACTTACAACAATAACCATATCACCCAGAAGTTCCCTCTGTCCTTGCCAGAACCAGAGTAATATCATTCATATCATTCATGTTAAGTTGTGGCCAAAGTGGAGGAATGCAGAAACTGAAAGAATGTCCAAAACAAGTTGTTAATGATCATAGGGGCCTTAAAAAGAAAAAGGAGTAGGGTCAAGGTTATCCATGGGAAAGAAAAAGAGCAGAAATACTTCTCTCCTGTGCTATATTTCCTTCCCCAGAAAGAACTAAAGACGAAATATAGACAGAGGACATGTCTTCTCCCCTCTGCACCTCAATTTAATCATTTCTCAGCTCCGTGCTCTCCAGACTGGGCACTAGTGTTTATAGACCAGGAACAAAACTATGTCCCTATCAGGATGCCTTTTTTTTTTTTTTTTTTGAGTTCCAGTGAGTTTTTACTGAGATAAATTAACCGAAATCAAGATTTTTATCAACCATCTTTTCTGAATCTTAGAAACTCAGCAGAGATTCTGATTCATATACATGTACATACAACAGAAATATGGCCTATCAAGAAATGTAGGGAAGCTGTTCTCTGAGTGCCCCACTAGAGGCTTCTGGGGGACAGGATGGGTCAGCCCTGTGTCTGCACGCTCCTGTGTCTGCACGGTTTGTCGCTCCTCTGCCTTTAGGACCCTTATTAGAAGAATGTCCCACCTACTTCCCTATCTAAAGGCTGACCAGGCTTGGTTTCTGAGATTGGACGTGGGGCTTGCCACCTGCTGCATGATAAAGTCATGTGGCCCAGGGCTTCGCTGGATTTGGTGATTAAGCCCAGACACAAAAAACAGCTGGTTTCTGGAAAGGTTATCATGCCAGCATGAGGCGTGATTACAGCTGCACACAACTCTTACCGACTGTAAATCTTGGGGATTTACAGCAGGTGCCATAAGGAGAATGCTTGTGATTATCAGCTCTCCTTAGTATGAAGCTTTTTTGCAGCTCTTGGTAATTCTTTCACATATGATCTGCCTTTGGTTCAGATAGACCAGAGATCAGTTTGTGAGTAAGAGGTTTGTACTTCAAGCCTCATTTCCCCTTAGGCATGTCATTCTGTAAAACACTTGGGCCCCATTTTGTGACATTATTTCTGTAAGCTAAGCCAGATGCTTTAAGGTGGGCAAAGTGGATAGCCTCACAGAAAAAGAAGTGAGTCCTCAAGATGGTATTAGACCTTCATTCTAAAGGAAGTGAGACCACGGCTAGGGTAAATTGGAGACGTGCATGTGTGTGGGAAGATTGCATAAGGTTCAGGCTTGAGGGGTTTGGCTGAGGGGCAGAGGGGCAGGAAGTTGGCAGCACAGCTTTATTCATTTATTGAGAAGGCTTTCTGGTCAAACTAAGGAGAGTAAGAGAGGCAAGAGCTAAAAGAGAAAGGGCCCTTGGTGATTGCTTCAAAAGCCAGGAAAGAAGCAAGAAAGTTGGTAGTTGGCTTGAATCTTTCCCTACCCACTGAATTTTACACATTTTCTTTTCAAATACATACTTGGCTTTTTATTCAGAGCTATACCCCAGGGGATACACTTACTCCCCTCTGTATACTGGGCCTGAGGATTAATGATGACATGCAGAAATAGGTCTCAGCACTAGACTTACCTGAACAATTTCATGCCTTTGATGCTGTGCGTCTTTGATTAAGTTTGTGGACAATTTGCTCAGTATTTCTGCAAGTATTTATTTATTTTTTCTGTGTCTGTTCATTTCTATCCCCCAATCTTTTTTCTCTTTGTTCTTCAGAATGGATAGTTTCTATTCATCTATTTTCAAGTTTACCAAATCTTTCCTCCACCTCCATTCTGATATTA